TATCAGCAAAGAGCCCAGGGTTGGGTCAGCAAACATCCCAAGGCACCACAGAATCTGCCTCCACCTTCCTCTTACTGCCCACTGGCTGTCAGTCTTAGTCACTGACTCCTAGATCTTCTCTGGGGGGTAGGAGGGGATGTGCCATTCAGACTTCAAGGAAGATGGTGGGTGCATTCCCCCACACTCAAGCCACACATTTGTTTCTGTCCCAGATTATTTCCCTAAACAGCAGAGCTAGGCCCCTAGTAGGAAAGCGGGTAGGGCCTCCAGAGTTCAGAGTTTAGGTCTGCTGGAAACCAGGAGGGTATTTCTTTCGCTCTCCCATGAGTAGGAAGTACCAGCCTGATTTCCAGGAACATGTATGGAATGGCCATGCCCTAAAGCTAATCTCTAACACCCCCTGAGTCTTTCTATGTTGCTGTCTCCTCAGCAGGGGTTAAGATGTAGGGTGGGGGGAAAATGACACAAGGTGGGGTGAACAGAAACCCAGAGGATGAAGCAAGCAAGATTCCAGAGGACAGGCTGAGCAGATTCTAGAAGATGGGGCGAGTGGTGTCCCACAGGGTAGGGTAATTGTTTCCCCTGGGAGGAGCTTGCTCTTCTCAAAAAAATGGCTGCTTGTGATACTGGAAGATGCCCCAGCAGAGGGATCCCAGCAGATACTACCCACATCTCTCTCCAATGCGTTCCACTCCAGACTCAGGTGATACCAATTCACAGCACCCTCCCATTACCAAAGCCCAAGGTGAGTGGCTACAAATGAAAACCCTGTTCTTTGGCTCCCTAAACAAAAAAAAATACACACACTACCCTTGCTGGCGTAGCTCAGTGGATTGAGTGCAGGCTGGGAACCAAAGTGTCCCAGGTTCGATTCCCAGCCAGGGTACATTCTTGGGTTGCAGGCCATAACCCCCAGCAACCGCACATTGATGTTTCTCTCTCTCTCTTCCTCTCTCTCTCTCCCCCTCCCTTCCCTCCCTAAAAATAAATAAAATCTTAAAAAAAATACACACACACGTATGTGTGTGTACATATGTACACATGTATATAAGAGGCTCCAGTGGGCTCCATCTCTCCCTGGCAGACAGAAACCCCATGACCTTTCATTGCTGGATGCTAAATGGGCAGCTGACCCAAGCTCCGGCAGTCTGTGCTTGCAAGGCCAGTCTGGTAGCCAGCTTTCAATCCTCTCAAGGGGCATCCATGTATTTTTAAGTGGAAATCCAAGAGGACCCAAGATGGTGGTGGGTAAGTGGAAGCTACACTAACCTTCTCCTGGGACCAATCTGGAATCACAACTACATTGTAAAGAAATAATCCTGAAAAACCAACTGAACAGTAGCTGGAGAGAAGCCTAATAACCAAGGACAAACAGAAGAAACCACTTCACCACAACATGACTGGTAGGGAGTGCAGAAGAGGTGTGAGAGGGCTGGCTGGGCTCCCCTGGGCAGCAGCTGAAGTTCCCGAGAGATATTTCCACATATGCGGGGTGTTTCCCCTAAGAAGTGTGCAGTCTTAACCCCAAGCTGGGCTTCCCAGCCTATAGCACCAGAGCCAGGAAAGGAACCCAGATAACATCCAGCTATGAAAAGGAGCAGGATACCTGTCTACCAGGGAGAGATGTCTAGGGACACAGAGAGCCTCTTAAAGGGCTAATACACAAAATTCTGTTTGCAACTTAACCCTGGCCCCAGCAGAGGGAGGGTAGAGTGGACCAGAGATACATGAGGGGAATCTGGGGATGGTGGCTCTGAGAAGAGAACTGAAGCAACAGCCACCAGGATCCCTGTGCAGTGTCATTCCCCAAACTGTACATGCCACCTTCCTCAGGGGGAGCACTTCGCTCCAAGTGGCATCAGCCTGAGGGGAAGTAGTAGCCCCACTGGCAGGAATTACTCTGCCACATCCTGTGGAGCTTAAGCTGGGCTGCTGAGTACAGCTTGAGGCTATATCTCTGACTAAGTTAAACAACTAAGGCAGATCTCTTGGAGCTCTGAGAACCTTCCCCGGGCCCATTGCTAGTAAAAGCTGGCCTTGGTGTGCACCCTGGTTCTTTCTGCACACAAACAAGTCCAGCAGAGGGAGCCACATGCCACAGATCACTGATAGCTCCAAACAGGTTGCCCAGAGCCAGTCACAAGCAGCATTTGGCAAAGGTCTGTACCAGAGTTTTGCAGATCTACCTCATACATAGAAACAAATACAAAAAAGCAGCCAAACAGGAAGACAAAGAAACAGACCTACCAAGAACAAGAGACTTAAAGAACAAGAACATCCTCCTGAAGAACTAGATGAAATGGAGACAAGCAATTTATCAGATATAAAGTTTAGAGTAATGATTATAAGGATACTTAAAAGCATGAAGACAGACACAGAAACTATAAAAAAGGACCAGTCAGAAATAAACAATGCAATATCTGAAATAAAGTAATACACTGGAAGGAATAGACAGTAGGTTAGAATAAACAGAAGATCAATCAAACCAGTGATTTGGAAGACAAGGTGAAAAAAACACCCAAAGCAGCAAAAAGAAAAAAGAATTTAAAAAAACAAAGAGAGCTTAAGAAACATTTTGGACAACATGAAGGGTAACAACATCTGCATTATGGGAGTACCAGGAGAAGAGAGTGAGCAAGTGATCGAGAACCCATTTGAAGAAATAATGACCACAATTCAAGTAACAGAAAAGAATATATAGTGTGAGCTCATTTTTATTTTAAAAACAGGAATAAGAAGTATGGAAGAAAAAGCAAAATCACAACATTGTTTATCTTTAGGAAATGAAATAACCAGTTTTTTTAAAAAGTTTTTTCTCTTTACATCATCCATTTTTAAATAACTTACTATAAACTCATATTACCTTTATCTTTATAATAATAAAATAATAAAGATACTTCTTAAAAAAATCAAATATTTTAGCTCAAGTTTCTAAATTCCAAAGCTAAAATGACAGCTCTTTGTGTAGCCTCATTGCACCTACAATATCCAACCATCAATGGACACCAGAATTAAAAAGTAAACCTGAAGCTAAAAGTTAGATTGAAATATACAAAGAATCACAACCTACCAGGAATGGAAGCCCACCATTGGAGCCAGCAAAGTAGTAAGAACATTTAAAAGGTAACTGATTAATTTCTGGAAACTGATCTTTAGACTAACGTGAGAGAGAAAAATCTCCTGGAGATCCAGTCATGAAATGGAGTAGGGGTCACATTTTCTTGAGTTTTAACTCCCAAAATGCCACCAGGTCCTTGAGGTAAATACTGGTGAAAAATCCCTACTTTCTTCCAGCACAGAGAAGAGCAAAGTAATCATTTTGAATACCCGCAAAGCATTCTACTCTCAAGAAAAACTATTTACCATGGCCTAACCAATCTGAAGGTAGAGAAAAACCCGACACCAGATTTTTTGTCTTTCTTAAGGAGGTGAGGGTAGAGAGGGAGAGCTGAGGAGTAGCTGTGAAGGTCATAGCCCAGGGACACAGGCTGATTCTTCTCCCCCACACCTTGCATCACATCAACAGAGCTTCTGTATAACAACAGGGGAATACAATGAAAAGAAAAACATGGCTCAGACCTTATTTAACAAGCCTTTAGGGAAATCCAAACACAACAGAGGAGACAAAAAGAACACCGGTGGAAATTTTAGTTTCTGACACCTACAACTACAGCAAATAATAAGCACAGCCTGACTCAAACAAAACTTCACAGAAAGGGCCTATTTGCTTCAGTTCCTAACCTGTTTACTGAATATATCCTGCCAAGTTTTCAAAGCCACTACAAAGGCATACTAAAAGGCAAAAAAAAAAAAAGAAAAGCAAGCACAGTCTGAAGAGACAAAGCAAGCATCCAAATCAAACTCAGAGTAGAGATTTGGAAATTTTCAAGCCAGAAATATTTGAAGTTTAAAGACAGAATAGAAGGGTGAAGACAGTAATTTGAACAACTAAAATTATATAATTAACCTCTAAAGGATTATTGTTTTTAACTCCAAAAATAAATAGTTAGCAAATTTATCAGTACATGAGTCATATAGGCCTGCTTCTAAGTTACATATGCATACTTCTCCCTCTGAAATATTTCTTCTAAATTCTCAATACCAGAATGAACTCTTCTAATACTTTGGTTAGGGGTAGTTGTATAGCAATAATGGAAATGGTGCCGGGAGTAATCCCAAATTCAAAAAGCAAAAGTAAAGAAAGTAAAAGTGAACGATCTTCTAGTTACAGCCAATTTTATAAGGAAAAAAAATTGTGTTCGAAAAAACAAGTTATTTGCACAGTTATACAGCTCAGAAAAGAGCCATGAGGAGGACATTCAGTTCTCTGAATGGTACCCTCATTTCATTATGCTGCAGATGATAAAATATTTAAAATGCCGTCCAATTTAGTAATAAAATATTCCTAAAGAGATCATTCAATGTATAAAGATCATAATAATTTTTAAGATAGATTTCCCCTCTCTTTTTATAATAACAGATTTTATTTTGCCAATCCCTCCAAATTTTTAAATCTATAGATGAGAAAAAGCATTTATTTAAAAAATTTTCAGTATCTGGATTATTTGTTATTGTTTTGTATTTTAATAGTGCATACTTGCTCTAAAATTATTTCAAACAGTAAGACAGGTATAAATCTCATTTCTTTTATTCTAGCCACACTTCTACCCAAATCTGCAAGAGCTTCTGTTTTTATTTTACATAAATGGGCTCATACTATACAATTTGACAACCTAAAGACAAAATATTAGTACATAAATTCAATCTTAATTTTATATGCTATCAATGGATTTAAAAAAGTAGTTACTGTAACTTACACTTTTAAGGCTCTTTTCTATATATTCTTTTAATATCAATAATTTTGGTTTCATATGAATATAGTCCTATAACCAGTAGTTGATTGGCTTAAGATGCTAAAGTAGTGCAGATTTAATTTGTCCCAGTAGGCTACTTGACTTAACTTGATTCTCTAACCTAGTCAGTTAAATAAACATAATTACCAGTTTCATCATGGTAGTTCACAGCTTCTGTCTCCATCCATGCATTATCAGTGTTTCGAGGATCGTCAACATATCCCTTATATATCTATTTTTAAAGGAGGCAGACAGAAAAAATGTATATAGTAAAACAGGAATGGGTAGAGCAGAAGCAAGTTATCTTCATTATAAACAGCAATGTAAATATCTTGTTCCAAAGAAATGTGCATGTAATTAACTGCACATTTAAAATGGTTAATATGGTAAATTATATGTTATGTGGTTTTTACCATCATAAAAAAAGAAATATAAATACTATAAAATCTTTAACATAGCATTCCTTATGCTTATTTTAAATTTCCCAGGGAACAATATTCTCAAGAACCTTTGAGGCAACATTAAAATTCACAAAACCCTCAACACCTCAGACTCTAACTTCAGAATTTAATAATAGTACTTGCAGGTCACAAATATTCATTACATAGTGAGAAGAGGTTGCATTTAATGATTATGTCCTCTGCTGGAAAGTCTGCAGAAGTCCTGTTTAGTGTGAATCAAGACGAAGAGTGTTCAAACACTGCACTATAGGTTTTACACAATGAAAAGGAAACTGAAGACTACAAGTAGACTCTTCTAGACATATTTTCCTCATAGGTTTTAGAAACTTTTAGGTTATATGTCATGTAATACATTGTACATGCATTCCTTAGTTTGAATATTTCTATATTTGAAAAAAGTACATTAATGGAGTGTAAATAGTAATAATACTTGGGCCATGTGGTTTTTTGAAGTCTTTATAATTTAAGTATTCTTCTGTTTTAATAATTTCTGTGACTCTCATGTCAGACATACAAAGATAGATTCCTGTAGTTAAACAAAAGAGATCTATAAACAAAGTTGGTAAAAACTAATATTTAAGCTAATTCATGAAAAGATTTGGATCGAGTCATCTAACACAAATGTGAACCAAAAACCTGGACAACACAAATAAATAATTAAGAACTCCTAACTCCAGAAAGAAAACAAAGCAATGAAAACAGTGTGATGACTGGGCGGTGGGTGGAGGTGGAAGAGAACATAAGGAGAATAAATTGTAATGGAAAAATAGACCCCCAAAGTTTTTTTAATGAAATATATAAACGTGAAAAAAAAGAAAGCAATCCAAACAAAAGCCAACAAAAAAGAAAAAAAAATCTGTCTTTTTCCTTATTATTTGTGTATCAATACATATACCTTATAAGGCGATTTTTAAATCTTAACAAAGGTATGTAGACAACACAGAAATGAGATTTAAATGGTTACAAACCAGAGAAACTCTGAATAACTTAATTTCAAATGTAAATGTTCTTCCCAAAGAGCTGAATTCGTGCAAAAAAATTTTTTAAAGGTTTTCTTTAGGATGGGTGAACTCAGTATCACATAGCTCACACCCTGTCTAAAAAAAAAACAACAACAAAAAACTAAGAGGAAAAAACTGTATTATAATACATTACATAATTGACCTAAAGTTAGGTTATAAAACTTGAAGTAGAAATATATGTACACTGAAGATTTACAATTTAAGTTGCTTTCATGAATATATATCACAAAGATAAAAGATATCACTTTATTGAGAGAATAATGTACCAGATTTCCAGGTGAACTTTAAGTAATTCTTACTAATGTATAGAACTAAATCCTTCCTAAGAACCATCATTTCTTACCACTAGGTGTTCCTGACTGAAGAGTTTGTGTAACTGTTCCTCTAATTTTCTCTTTTCAGCACTGGATTTCTGTAAGGAGTTGAGAGCTTCCTCACCAAATTCTCTTTTCAATGTAGCACTGATCTTCTCCCCCGGATCCACCATCCCCTGAGAGTCACATTTTTGTTTAAAAAAAAAAAAGTAACAAGCTTTAAGTCATTCAACTAATATTTATCAAGTGATGCAATGGATAGTTATTGTTCTCTCTTTTCATAATCATGATCCCTATTCTTCTGTCATATATTCTCTAAACCATTTATTTCTGAGAAACAGCCTCTCAGGTATCTCACAGATATGATGACAGTAACTGGTCCAGTTAGCCCTATGGTAAACTGAACCAATCAGACTCCTTTCCAGCTAAGGAAGGAACTCATGGAGGCAAGAAAGAATACAGAAAGTGGACACTTTCCCCATCATTCGTTCTGTTCCAGCCACACTGACCTCCTTGATGTTCCTAAAATGGCCAGACATACTCCCAGCTTAGGGCCTTTAAAGCTACTGCTTCTGTCCAAGATGCTTTTCCCCAGATAGCTACATAAATCCACTTGTTCAGCTACTTCACATCTTTACTCAAATGTTACCTCCTCAGGGAGGCCTTCTCTAACCAACCCTGTCTAAAATAGCAAACTCTCGAACACTTCCTAGTCTTCTTAATACTTATCACCTTTAAACATCTAATTATTTATTTATATTATCTGTCTCCCCTACTGTAATGTGGGCACCAGGAAACAGGGATGTCTGTTCATGTTGCTCTATTGTATCTTCAATGTCTAAATTATTAGTTGACAAAGTATATTGATTAGATGAATGACTCAAAATATCAAGTGATAAGAGTTCCCTGAATGATCAGAATTTCAAATGACAATAAAAATATAAAATCCTATGATGAAGTTATTATTGCATTTTACATTCAGCATGAAAAGTCTGACTGCTTGGCTCATAATAATTAGCCTAGGCTTTACCACAGTCAGCTGAGATATTCATTTCATTCCACTGTTATCTACCAAAGAAAAAACCATTCTTGCAGATAGTAGTATGCATAAATTCTTCCTCTCACCAAACTACCTCCATTTCACAATATGGCATTAAATATGAAACCATCTACCACACACTTAGGGTTGGGGCTGATTTCTGAAATGGGACCCAATATAATGAGTACCTACATTATACCAGATGCTTTGGATGCTATTTCTAGTAATCCTAAGAGACAAACATGATTATCTCTATTGTAAAGATTAGGTTCAGAACTCCCTATCACTCAGTTCAAATGAAAAGACCCAAAGATCCCAAAGGGCCTAAGTCTAACTCCAAAATCCATGTTCTTTACCAAGGGTTTTAGATTCAGACTCAGATTCTACTGCCTCCTATTATCCTACAGTTATCAATAGTGGCATGTCATTGCAGTGATGAAAGACAAAAGAATTACAAATTGAAGTGGTGAGGAAAGGAAGATAAATGGAGTAGAAAAGACCCACACACAATAATCTTATGATAAATAAAGCAACTAAAAAGAACCTAAAACATTAATTTGATTTAATTTCAATGCTCACCCCTGGGATTGCCCATTCTCCACAGTCTTTCCTTTTGATTGCAACAAACTGTAAGATGTTTTTCCCAGAAATGGGGTGGGTGATTTTATTTCCACTTTTATCCCTTTTCCACCTGTAAATAGCAATGTAAGATCATAACCAACTTAGAACAATGACCAAGGTTCTATCTCAAACTTGAGTCAAGGTTATAAAGATGTATCTTTTTTTTTATCACAGGGCACAGGGTACATATAAGTTTACCTAAAATAAGCTTTTACCGAAAAAAATGTTTTGTCTCACAAATATGTCTACTTTCCATAAAAGATATTATAGTCCCCATAATGAAAATTCAAAATATAAAGTTTTTACAGTTTTAAAATAAAACCAAATAAGAAGTTTAAAAGCAGAACAGAATTTAAAAGAAGGGTCACAAAAGGTTTTTTGGTTTTTTTTTAAGTCCACTGATCCTTTTTAAGAATTAAGGCTGTGTAATAGATCTGGTAATATTTGCTTTTAGCAGTTCACTTTTTGTTATCAAAAAGCAGATTATATGATACAGGTACAGTGGTTCTCAAAAGCAGTACTTCTCAATTTTTATGCCCCCTTTCAATTAAAAATATCTCATTCTATCCTTAGTTTAATATTAAATTTTGAATTAAATTGCAAATGGTTTTTTTAAAAAGTATCAAGGTGATGTTAATTTCCGAATGTATTTTCTTCTAACCACATATTCTTTTCCAGAGATGTTGAAAAATCTCCCCTTCCCTACTCCCACCACATTTACCTCCCTCCATCAAATTTCAAGTATTGTTCTAATAACTCTCTTAGGCAAAGGTAAAGATTTTCAAACTTCAATACTAGTCTAAAAAAGAAAGCCTATGATCTAATCACTGATCTGCAGGAGACTCATAATAAGTTACTTTAGATATGAGTTCTCAAGTTTCTTTATGTATAGCAGCTGACTACCATATCTAACCTATAATTCCTCCCGTGGGAGAGCTTATAATCTAGAAATGGAGCTAGACATGTAAGTGAATAATTACAAGCTACAGTGACAGATTTTTAGTACAATAATTAGAAATGAAAGAATAATTGGTACAAGAAGACAACATCTGGACTTAGGTCAGATGGAGTCATAGGCAAACACGGCTCACCTCCTCACAGAACCACATCAAAATTACAACTAAACTATAGAACAATCATCATTCAGAACCATCAGAAATCTAGTTGAATGGAAGTCCAACAACAATGGAATTAAAGAAACCACATCCATTCAGACTAGTAGGAGAGACAGAGATGTAGTCACACTGAATGGGCTGGTCTCACACCCAAGTGTGGTGAATTAAAATTAGGAACGGTTATCTTGGGAGCGAGGTGTCCCAGCCCCACACCAGGCCCCCCAGCCCAGGGTTCCAGTGCCAGGAAATAAGTCCACATAACTTCAGCCTGCAAAAACCAGAGGGGATTAAGTCAGTAGAAGAAACTTCTGAAGTCCCAAGCAGTTTCACTCAAAGACCTCACACACGGACTTAATCAGACTCACTACCTCTGAGCTCCAGCAGCAGGATATCAGCTTGAAAGGTACCAGGGACAAACAGGGAGGAACTTAAGTGCCTGGAATTAAATCAAGAGCTGGAGTACAGCTTTCTCCCAGACAGAAAGGCAGGAGGAGACCACTGTTCCTTTTCTGAACCCTCCCACAAACAGCCAGCAGGTGGGTGCCATATTGGAGACACCATCAAACCTTCTTTCTTCCTGCTGCGTAATATGCACAATATTCCATCATATAAATGTATCATAGTTTGATTCACTCATTTACTGATGGGCACTTAGGTTGCTGCTAGCTCTTGGCTATTGTAAATTATGCTGCTATGAACATTGGGGTGCGCAGGTTCTTATGAATTAGTGTTTCAGGGTTCTTAGGATATAATCCCAGCAGTGGAATTGCCAAGTCAAAAGGCACTTCCATTTTTAGTTTTCTGAGGAAATTCCATACTGTTTTCCACAGTGGCTGCACCAGTCTATATTCCCCCAGCAGTGCACTAGGGTTCCCTTTTCTCCACATCCTCTCCAACACTTGTTGGCTTGTTTATGATGGCCATTCTGACCAGTGTGAAGTGGTATCTCATTGTGGTTTTAATTTGCATCTCTCTGATGGCTAGTGATGCTGTGCAACTTTTCATATGTCTCTGGGCCCTCTGTATGTCCTGCTTGGAGAGGTGTCTGTTCAAGTCTTTTGCCCATTTTTTTAAATAAATCTTTTTTTTAAAGATTTTATTTATTTATTTTTAGAGAGGGAAGGGAGGGAGAAAGAGAGAGAGAGAGAAACATCAATGTGCGGTTGCTGGGGGTCGTGGCCTGCAACCCAGGCATGCACCCTGACTGGGAATCAAACCTGTGACACTTTGGTTCGCAGCCTGAGCTCAAGCCACTGAGCTACTCCAGCCAGGACTTTTGCCCATTTTTTAATTGGGTTTTTTGTCGTCCTGGAGTGGAGTCGTGTGAGTTCTTTATACATTTTGGAGATCAAACCCTTGTCTGAGTTATCACTGGCAAATATGTTTTCCCATACAGTTCATTCTCTTTTCATTTTAATGCTGTTTTCTTTAGCCATGCAGAAACTTTTTAATCTGACAGTAACCAGAGGGGAGGTGGGAGGAGATAATGGAAGGAAGGGGTTTTCAGGAACAACTATAAAGGACACATGGATAAAATCAAGGGGGGTGGAAGCAGGGAGGAGGTGGGTTTGGCTGGGGTGGGAGGATAGTGGTGGGGGGTAAATGCAGACAACTGTAATTGAACAACAACAAAATAATTTAAAAAAAAGAAGAAACTAGAATAAAGAACAATGAATCAAATCCAAATAAACAGAGAAAATAAAGGAATATGAATCAATGAAAAAAGCTGTATAATACCTAAGAGGTTATTTTTTTGAAAAGATTGCCTATTCAAGAAAACAAATTACCAATAGTAAGACTGAAAAGGGAACATCACGTTAGAACCTACAGACATTAAAAATTTAATGAGCAGGTATTAGAAATTAGTTAAGCCTATAATTAGATATTTCAATAAAATGATACGGGCAAGCTTTCTAAAAACTTATTAAAACTGACATGAGATGGGAAATCTCAATAGTCCTATATGCCTACCAAAGTAATTGAGTCTATAATTTAAAACTTTCCTACAAAAAAGGGGAAGGGTCATCAAGGAACATGTATAAAGGACCCATGGACAAAGATTAACGGTATGGGGGGGAGAACTGAATGTGGGAAGTGGGGGGGGGTAGATTGGGGGACAGTAATGGGGGGAAAATGGGGACAACTGTCATTGAACAATAAAAAAAATACTTTCCTACAGAAAAATAAAATAAAATAAAATGTCAAAGGTTAAAGATAAAGAGAGAATCTTAAAAGGAGCAAGAGAAAAGACGTTAGTTACCTACAGGGGAGTTCCCATGAGGCTGTCAGCTGATTTCCCAAAAGAAACTTTGCAGGCTAGAAGGGAGCGGCAAGAAATATTCCAAGTCATGAAAAGTGGATTGCCCTACCCAGCAAAGCTATCATTTAGAATCAAAGGGCAGATAAAGTGCTTCCCAGACAAGAAAAAGCTAAAGGAGTTAGTTCATCATCACCAAACCATTATTATATGAAATGTTAAATGGACTTAAGAAAAAGAAGATCAAAAGTATGAACAATAAAATGGCAAAAAAATACATATCTATCAAAGACAGAATCATGGATACCAAGAGCATTTTGAAGAGGGGGATGGTTGTCAGGTGTGGGGGGATGGGTGAAGAGTTGAGGGGACTAAGAAGTACAAATTGGTAGTAACAGAATAGCCATGGGGATATATAGTACAGTATAGGAAATGGAGTAGCCATAGAACCAATACGCATGACCTGTGGACATAAACAAAGGTGTGGGGATTACCTGAGGAAATAGAGGGTGCTGGGTGGAGGAGGGCAAAGGAGAAAAAATTGGGAAAACTGTAATAGCACAATGAACAAAATCATAATTAAAAAGAAAAGACATCTGTTTTCAAGGATTCCAGATGGAAAAAATCATGAGGGTAAAAGTTGTAACATAAAATGATGTATTCAACATACAGAGTTCCTAGTTTGTTGCTCTTTTAAAAAATTATTTGTTTACAGTGTCACTGAATGAAAACAGAAAATAAAACATGGTTAAAAATCGAATGTGTATGTGAAATCTGGCAGTATGAGCATCAGTGAGGGAAAGATGAGGGAAGAGGCTGAAGAAATTAGGAAAGGAAGCCAGAAAATATCTTTAAGCTGGGTAAAGCCACAAGCAATTTGCATTTTAGAAAGCTCACTCCCTTTGACAAAGGTATGTAGGTTGTTTTGGAGGGAAGGAAGACTGGAGGCAAGAAGACGAGCTGGAAGACTGTTGGCACGATCCAGATACAAGATGATGAGGGACAGAGCGAAAGGCAGCCACAGTGAGAATGGAAAGAGAACAAGTTTTACTTTCACTTTTTTTTTAATTTTTAAAAGATTTTATTTATTTATTTTTAAACAGAGGGGAAGGGAAGAAAAGAGGGAGAGAAACATCAGTGTGTGGTTGCCTCTTGCACACCCTCTACTGGAGATCTGGCCTGTAACCCAGGCATGTGCCCTGACTGGGAATTGAACCAGCAACCCTTTGATTCAGAGGCCAGAGCTCAATCCACTAAGCCACACCAGCCAGGGCAACTTTCATTTTTTAAAGACAATTTATATAGCATTTACTATGTACCTGGTACTGCAATAAGTGCTTACCCATTTAAGCCTCAAAATAACCCTGTTTAGTAACTGTATTACTGTTTTTATTTTACAGATGTGGAAAATGAGGCACAGAGAAGTGAAACTTGCCCAAAATTGCAGAGTGAATAAGTTGTGTAAACCAAGATGAACCCAGGCAATCTGGTTCCAGAATCTGCACTCTTAATCACTACACTATTTTACTTAAATCAAAGAAACAGAATATTTACACTAACTGGATGAGAGAAGGGGTAAGAAGGTGAATGATGGCTCTGTCCACTCACAAACATTTACTGGTAACTACTACATACAACAAAAACTGCAGCTTCACACATACCCCATCATTATAATTTCACATAAAGTCCTTTCAACATATAGATTTTGTGTATATACATAGGTATATATAGATGTCTCTATGTGTATATATAAATACATGTGTGTATACAAACACATAAACATATATATGTATAAACACAATACATAGGTACATATACTTATAGCTGTATGTATATATGTAAACACATGGTTATAATCTGTATTTTTCCAATCACTTAGCTCTCTGCTACTGAAATGGTTTCTTAGTTCTTACCTAGTTATGATGGGATCTGCAGCATGATTTGGGCCCCATCGCCCCAAAAGCCCTCGGCCAACTAATCCTGTCCGTCCTGCAGGATTTCTGGGGAAAAAAAAAATCAATTGAATGGGTTCATCTTTTCTAATGCAACTTGATATGGCTGAATAAAAGGTAGTAATATTAATAAAAGAAATGAGTATCTCCACCTAAACCCAGTAGCACTATCATATATCTAGCACTGAAAGCACATCTTTCCTTCTATTGTTATTTAACTTTTCTTTTGTGTGTGTCTTAAGTTCTGGGCTTGATCCAGGAGCAGGATCTCGTTTCCAAAGCTGTTCTACAATATAAGAATTCGTTTGTTTTTGCATGTACTCCTAAATACAAACTAAAGCCTTACTGGACTCCTAAATTTTGAAGATTAAGATGCTCTGCACCTAAATCATCCATCTCTACAACAGCTATGATTTATTCCAGACTCTCACACTTCTCTTCACTTTCTCATCACCCTCTCTTTCTACTCCATTCTCCTACAACCCTCCCCATCAAAATATTTTTTGTTAAATTTTGCAGTCCATTTTTCATCAGGGGGTTCTGAATTTTTATTATCAGTAATATATATTTTGTAGCATATAATAAGGTGGTAGTAAAATTTCAAGTATTTCAAGTATTCACTTTTTAAAGAAAACAATTTTATATGAAAATGCCTACTTGCTATTTATTCTAATGCCATAATCCAATATTAAAAAGTCTGGCAGGTAAACAAGAGTCATACCTGAATGTTTTTCTTTCCATCAGTTATCTTGTTAAATGTTCAACTTTCCTCATTATGTGTCAGTAAAATGCCCCAATCTACAGCCTTACCTATTTAACATTATATCTTTTGTCCTCCCAGTAGGTAAAAGTAAATAACTTGCCAAAATTTTTATTTCAGACATTGTTTTTTATTCTGGTCTTCTATATGACTGTTATTAAAGTTAAATGAATTTTTATATTGTTTTGTACTAGACTTAGAAATATTTCAGCACTATGGAACTGTATACCTGAAACCTATATAATTTTATTAGCCAATGTCCCCCCCAGTAAATTCAATTTTAAAGAAAAGAGAGAAATAGTTCAGCAAGACTTCTGGTAAAAACAGAAAGACAAAACAAGACAACTGGCCAGGTGACAATAATTCTACTTTTGAAATTCACAGGAGGGGCAGGGTGGCCAGTAACTGTTTTATTCCATGTAAAAAATTACCCCTGAACACAAATAATCAAAGTCAATATTAAGAGACAGAATGTCACCCCTGGCTGGGTGGCTCAGTTGGTTGGAGCATCATCCCACATACCAAGAGGCTGCTAGTTCAATTCCCAGTCAGGGCACATGCTACAGACTCAAGGCTACAGACTACAGACTCAAGGCTACAGACTCAATCCCCAGTCAGAGCACACACGGGAGGCAATTGATTGATGTTTCTCTTTCATCTCTCTGTCTCTCTCTCCTCTCTTCTCCCTCCCTCCCTGCCCCCCTCCTCTCTCTCTCTCTCTGCCCAACCCTCTACCCACCCCATCCTTTCTCTCTAAAAATCAATCCACATATCCTAGGGTGAGGGGTATAAAATAATAATAATAAATTTAAAAAATGGGATGTTTGTTTCTGAGATGTCTACACCTGTAACTTGTAAACTAGAGGTTTTGAAAAAGACATACAGACTATCCTGTAGCCTCAGAAGCAGAGACAGTTGTTTGCAGAGGAGAAATGAAGGCAACATATAAAGAAAAGCAGAGATGAGAGAGAGAGTCCTGATGATTTTCCAATTTCACCCATTCCTAAAGTTAGCTAAATTTCTGCTTTGAGCTCCTTGAGATGACCCCAGAGCCTCAGAGTACAGATAAACCTCATTTTTGGCTTTAGGCAAGCTAGAGTTGGTTTCTATCACTCCAAGACTCTGGAATAAAGCAATATGTTATCTTGCCTTTGCTGCCTATTCTTTTATATTTGTACATATCTTTTAATATATTTTACCAATAAAAGAACCTAAGAAATAAGTCAAATACAAGGACAGTCTGACATAAAAAGATCCAATAACATAGACAGGTAAATAAGTTTTCAACAAAGAAAGAATTTAGCAAAACTAAATGACCAGATCACAGTGAGATGAGTAGTATCAATTTCCTTGTCCCAGAGGAACTAAGAAAATAAACTGCAATATTTTTACAAGATAAGAACCATGGTTACAAATCTGTGGGCCTTCCTTTGTTTTATTTGGAGCATGCTAATTTTTACATTTCTTCCAAACTTTTACGTCTTCTTAAGGAAAGTGGAAATTTTTGGAGTTATATAGAAAAATCATTTTTAAAAGTATAGAAAATTCTTGGTATTATATCACTGAGTTATTTTTAGTTTTGCTTTTATGTTCAGATAATTCTTATTAAAGGAATTATCACTTTTAATAAATAAATACTTAACATACAATTTTCATTCCTTTCTCTATTAACTTAAACAATTGTGTTTCTACCTTCAAGGTGGGGTTACCAAAAGATGCATTCAAATCCTGCCTCTGCCACTTATGAAATATATGCAAATTGCTTACATCCTCTCTCTTTATCTGTAAATGGAACTAGAAATATCCATCCAGTTATTGTGATTAATTAATTACATCACATATATAAATACTTTTGTACAATGTCTGGCACATACAAGTACTCAGTAAGTGTTAATTATATTTTCTATAAATATAATTATAGACCCATAGACCCTTTTGAAGACCCATTATTGTAGGATGTTCCACTCCCAGGACCTACCTAGGTCTTCCATTTTCAATCTCATACAGGCCATTCTGGCTCTTTCTCTCAACATGCCCATCTTTTTCATTAAACTTGGGAGAAAAGGTGCTTTCACTGAAATGAGAACACCAATAAAAAATAAGAAATAATGGTCCAATACTACCAACTAATAATGTCAGTCAATCTGTTGTATCCCTCAAACTAAACATTTTAAGGCTTAGTTTTAATTTACACATTCATTTCACTACTTCAAAGCAGTTTGAGAAAAAAGTCTGTTAACCAAAACATGCTAAGGATATGTACACAACCCCTCCAGAAAGAAATAAAGGCAGAAGAACTGGACTTCCTCCCACATACTACAAAAAGTTTATATTATTATTAGCAAGAAGGAATTGTCTGCAGACAAATTATGTCAATTATCAGTTCTTATTTTTGGGCCCCAAAAGTAAGATTCTTTCTGATATCTTGATGTTTCTACTATCTCAAAGTAATTTTAATTTCTTCAAATGTATAGTGATTATAATTTTTATCAAAGTAAACCCACAAAACAGTGAATTCAACCCACAAACTTCATAATAAATATAAGGTAAATTAAAATAGATATAATTTGCTAAAAATGTTCTAGATCTTAATCTGGGTATTAGTTACAGAGCTATAAAAACATAAAATTTTACTCGACTATAGCTGCACACTTAAGAAATATACACTTTTCTGTATTTGTCAGAACTCAATAAAAATATTTTTTAAATATATAAACTACTTTCCTCACCACTATGAAATCACTGATATAACTGCACTGTCAGTGAATAAAGAGCTATATAGCACTGGATAGGTCATGGATAACTCTGACATAAGTTTCACTTTTTTCTTGCCTTAACTCCAGAAATTAACCATAGAAATATCTGTGCTCTGTTTTGGGAATAATTTCCAATTTGAACAATCTACACATTCCCTTAAGACTTCTAACCAATCTTCCATCTAACACACAAATAAAAAGAATTAAATGATTAAAGTTATGAAATTATAAAACCAGAATTATAATGCTCTTGGGAATCCAGAAATTCACCATTAAAATAAAAAAGCACAAACATAACTATAATTAAAGCATTAATGTTTAATAAAGCTTGATTTAGATGGTGATACATATTTAAATGTTAAAAAATTAAATGAAAAATAAGAAAATATATTTAATCTTCCTCTATTTACTCTATATAGCACCTCTGCCAATGTCATTGATTTTAATTGTGTATAATGTATATTTATATTTAGATAAATATGTACATCCTCTAAAATGGGGGAAATGGAACATTTAAAGTTAATAATTTCTCCACAGTTTAACTTCATGATTAATTAATAATCCAAGTACTATCACTAAGTTATAAATACATCTTTAGAGAAAATAAGGACACTGTAAGTCAAAATCAAGTGACAGGAATAAGTCCACGGTAAAGTTCAATAATCTAATGAACTAATACTGGAATTACCCAACTAGTGAAATTTTTGACTAAATAATGCCTTAAAAGGACTATGATTTACAACAAATTTACCCAGTTAAATGAAACTTGCACAATGGTTCTAAAACCAGGCAGTTTAAAAAGCAGAGTATTTAAGATCATAAATTCTGGAGTGAGAATGAGTTCCTCCAAGTTATACCATCTACTAGCTCTGTGACCATATGCAAAGCACAAACTTACAGTACTTCCATTTTTTGTGTTTTGTTTTTCTATAAAGTAGAAATAACAACCCTGTTTGCCTTTCAGAATACTTATAATAAAATAACGTTTATAAAACATTTAGTACAGTGCCTAGCTCATGGGTAGTACACTGTATTTATTAAAAGGAATATAAATATAAAATGCAAATCAATGCAGCACTTTAATGACTTTAGTCAAAGCATTTTTTGCTTGATATTTTTGTTTTCCTCTTTCTCTCTTTTATCAATCCCTTTTCTATTTTTTCACACTGGTCTAATTTTTCATCACCCTGTTCCTAGTAATTTGAAAAATATTTCTGAAAAATATTTTCAGTGCTTCAAATACAAGTCCAGATATGTTGGAAAACCACCACAAAAGATGTTCCATTGATAACCCAGACAGATACCATTTGTCATTTCAAAAAAACAAGAAACTCCATAGCAAAATAAATATACCCATTTGGAACAATCACCCTAAAACCCCAAAAAGAATAAAAAAACATGGACTGTCTAGCTTTGGCAAGAGTTTAAGCAAATATGGAAACTAAGTTACAACAAAATCAAGCACTAGATAAAAATATTTCAAGTGTCAAAATAATAATTTACAAATAATTTACCATTATTTTCTGTAAAAGTCTTACACCCAACTAATGCCAGCTAATTTGCTCACCTGATCTGAGGATCTGCCCACCTAGGTCCAGCCAAGACAGAGAGTGCAGTGTATTCCACAGGATTATAGTCTTGCCACTCAACAAGCCAGCCTACTTTCTCATTAGGAACCTGGCTGCGTTGAACTTTTGAACCTGGGTAAGGAGATGTCCTAGCCTTGTTGTGGGAATTTCCTTTGGCACCATTAGAAGCAGACATGATGTTGGAATTAAGATGAAATCCACAAGATGAAAGTGAGTTTCTGGGAGGCAAATAGAAAAGGATATTTAAATAAGTAACAAAAAAGAAAACAGTAAAAAACCTAATTCAAGAAGTAAAAACATACTTTTCCATTTCAAAGACTTAAAATTCAGAAAATTCAAATTTGATGCATATTAACATATAGGCCCAACATCTAGGAAAGATTATTCTCAAATACGAAAATTTGGGAAATATTGCTAAATCTTATTAATTGGAACCTACAATGAATTTATTTTATTGGAGAAAAAAGAACAGTAGTTTAACTTTGATTAGCATAAAAGCTGGGGAAGGAAAGTTTGTTATAAAAATTCAACCACAAAAACAAATGTAAAAGACTGTTTAAGTCTGCATGAAGGAATACATTTCTATAGTCTAACATACATGTGTAAAATGTATGGCAAGAATAGCACAAAGGAAGAATAACTGGAAAATAGAAATATACTGTTATAAGGGTCTTATATTGTATATGAAGTAATGTAAAATCAGGCTGTGATAAATATACAAACTTTAGAGTAAAATTAAGATGCATAAATCTGAAATAATTAGGTAACAGACAAAAAAAAACCCTGAGCCTTACCCCTTATCTCACAGCATTAACAAAAATTTTTCATGTCTCCTCCTTCCCATTACTCTTAAAATAAAGATTAAAATTCCCAATGACCCTAAATTAGGACATCTAAAGTAGAAAAGGGAATTCCTAGAACAGGGCAAACTGATGACCGTTCCCTGCCCCTGCTCTCTCAACACCAACTTGCCCCTCTTGAGACAAACAGTCAATGGGACAAACACCAACTTGATGGGATAATGAAGTCAACATCATGTGCCTCCTAATACCACACATTGAGAAGTACACGGTGATCACTTCTGACTTTTCCTTACAAGAGTATTTGACTGGAGTCTAGACATAAGAAACTACAGAACATACCCAGGTAAAGGACATCTTACAGAATAAAAATCTTCACTCTAAATTGGTAAGGTCATGAAAGATGAAGTTAGATGAGCTCTTACATATAAATGGAGACTAAAGAGATATGAAAATATCACTAAATTCAATCAGTGATCCTGGATCAGTTCCTGAACCATAAAGGAAAATAAAATTTCAGGACAAGTGGTGAAATTTGAATAAGGTTCTATAAATAATTTTTAAAAATGATACAAAAACCTTATTTATTTCCTTCCAACAAAGAAAAGCTTAGGACCACATGGTTTCACTGGTAAATTCTATTAAACGTTTAAAGGAGAATCAACATTCCTCAAACTTTTCTGAATAATGAAGAGGAGGAAATATTTCCAAGTTCTTTCTGTGTAGCCAGCATTATTAACTTGATATCAAAACTAGACAGAGACACAACCAGAATATTACAGTCTAATATCCCCAGATGCATATCAACTGCAAAAATCCTCAGCAAAGTAGAACCAAAGTGAATTCAACATTATATTAAAAGTATTATATACCATGACTAAATGGGATTTATTCCTGGAGTGCAAAGGTAGTTTAACATACAAAAAACAATCAGTTTAATACACCACTTAAACAGAATGAAGAAAAAAATGATCATCTGAATTGATGCAGAAAGTCTTGATCAAATTTCAATACCTTTTCATGATAAGCACATTCAACAACCTAAGAAAAAAAGGAAACTATCTCAATATAATAAAGGCTCATATACAAAAAGTCCACAGCTTTTTGGTTTGATGATGAAAGACTGAATGCTTTTCCTTTAAGATCAGGAACAAGGGACCCTAAATAGCTCAAACAATCTTGAAAAAGAAAAACAAAGTTGGAGGTCTCTCAATTCTTGATTTAAAACTTACTACAAAGCTACAGTAATGAGAACACTGTAGTACCAGAATACAGACAGATATATGGACCAATGGAATAGAACAGAAAGCCCAGGCACAAATTTTAACATATATGGTCATATGCTTTTCAACAGTGATGCCAATATCATTTAATGGGGAAAGACAGTCTTCTCAACAAAGGGTGCTGAGAAAGTTAGGTTTCCACAAGCAAATGGTTGAAGACAGACCCTTACTTGACAGCATATATAAACATTAACTCAAAATGGATCAAAAATCCAAACATAAGACCTGAAAATATAACTCCTAGAACAAAACATACAAGGAAAATTTCATGACATTTTTCCAAAGAAGACCTACAGATGGACAACACATACATGAAAGATACTCAACATCACCAATCAGGGAAATGCAAATCAAAATGAAGAGAGGTATTACCTCACACCTGTCAGAATGGCTGTTATCAAAACACAAGAAATAATAAGTGTTGGCAAGGATATGGAGAAAAGGGAATCCTTGTATACTGTTAGTGGAAATGTAAATTGGAGCAGAAGCTATGGAAAACACTATGGAGGTTCCTCAAAAAATTGAAAATAGAACTACCATATGATCCAGCAATTTCATGTCTAGGTATTTACACTGATTTGAAAAGGTATACCCAATCCCATGTTCCCTGCAGTGTTATTTACAATAGCCAAGATATAGAAACAACCTAAGTATCTATCAATGGGTAAATGCAAGAAGAAAATATTCCATACACAACAGAATATGATTCAGCCATCAAAAATGAAATCTTGCCATTTGCCATAACATGGATAGACTTCAAGGGCATTATGCTAAAATAAGTCAGACAGAGAAGGATAAATACTACATGATCTGACTTATATGTGAAATCTAAAAACACAAAGAAAAAACCCCAAGCTCATATAGAGAACAGATTGGTAGTTGCCAGAGGTGAGACTGGAGGCAGGGGTGGGGGGGGCTGCAAAATGAGTAAAAGGAGTCATAAGGTATAAACTTTCAGCTATAAAGTAAGTCCTGGGGATATAATGTACAGCTTGGCCACCATAGTGAATAATACTGTATTGCATATTTGAAAGTTGCTAATAGAGTAACTCTCAAAAGTTCCTATCACAAGAAAAAAAATCCTGTAACTCTTTGGTGACAGATGTTAACTAGACTTGAGATGATCATTTTGTAATATATACAAATATTGAATCATGCTGTATACCTAAAAGTGATATAAATGTCCATTATACCTCAATAAAAATGCAATACAAATTTACCATAATTCTGTAAGTTAGGAGTCAGATACAGGTCCCACTGGGTTAAAACCAACATGCCATATTGACAGGGCAGCATTCTTTCCAAGGTTCTAGAGAATTCATTTCTATGCCTTTCAAAGCTTTTGGAGGCCACCCCCATTCTGTGCCTCAGGTTCCTCTGCCTTCATCCTCAAAGCCAGCAACAACCAAATTTCTCTGACCCTTTTTCAGTAGTTACAGCCCTCTCTGACCATAGCTAGGAACATTTCTCCATTTTTAAAGACTTGTGATTAAATTGGGCCGACCTAAAAAATCCAGGATACCTTCCTCTTCTCAAAGTCCTTAATCCTAATCACATCTGTCAAGTGTCTTTTGCCATGTACAGCAATATATGCACAGGTTTCAGGGATTAAAATGTGGGCATCTAAAAAGTAGGCCACTGTTCAGCCTACTACAAATGTCTATACTATTTATTATATGAGCATGAGGAAAATTCAGAAGGATCTATATCATCAGGTTCTAAACATGGATTAGAGAATATAGTGCAGATACGAGAAGAAGAAAAAGGGAAGAGGTGAGGAAAAAGGGAGTGAGAAGGAAAAGGAGAAGGGGGAGGGAAAAAAAGGGGGAGGAGAAAGGCAAGGAGATGGAAAAAGGAAGTTGAGGGAAAAGAAAGTGGGAAGAGGGAAGCCAAAAGTGAGGGGGGAAAGGTGGGTGGCAGAAAAAGGGAGAGAGAAAAGAGAAGAGGGTTGGAAGAAGGGATAAGAAACAGATAAAAGGAGAGAAGGAAGCAAGCAAAAAAAGAAAAACGCTTACACACACCAAATAAAAGGAGGTATGATCATATTTATATATTTGGTCAATTTATGTAATTGTGTTTGCATGAAGAAATTTCCTTTAAAAAATACAAAAATTCTTAAACTGACCTATAAGAACTCCCTACCATACTTGTCACCACTTTGTAGTTTTGCCATACTAACCTGTCTGTGCATAAAAACTCCCATGTTCCCTTCCAACATGGGAAGCCACATGCTTTTCTTTTTGCCTACATCCTATTTACTTCCTCCTCCACCTAGCTCACCTACACTCATCCTTCATATCAGTTCAAAGTTCACTTTCTCAGGATAGTCTTCCTCCCTAACTCCCTAGGAGAAATAAGTGCCCCATGCTATATGCTATCAGAGCTCTATTATACTTTTCATGGAATTACCACAATTCTGATTTTACATTTATTAGGGTACCATCTGATTTTAAGCAAACAGAACAGGGAGTGTATCAATTGTAGTTCAACATAACATAATATGCTGTGTCTGGCATAATAATACCTGGCAAATCACAGATACAGGAGGTCCTTCCCCTAAAGTAACAGAAAAAGGCCATGTGAGGTAAAGACCAAAATTCCATTTTAATTAGTGGAAAGGAGTTTGTAATGTTAAAGAACTAATCTTTATAAAATGACATTTAAAATTACAAAAATAAATTTTACATTAGTTAAATAAGCTAGGTTATAACCAACTACACACATGCACACACACACATACTGTCTTAGAACAAAGAATTACTCAAATATTATTTTGTTTTCAACAAACTTGTATAAGTGCATAATACAGCTAGCTACCTTCACTTTTCTTTTTACCTTCACAGATCATAGGGGATGATTTTGGCAAAAATATTAGAAGTCTTCATCAAAATCTTTCCAAGACCTCTCTTAATCTTTTGACACTCAAATCATTCATTCTTGAAACACTATCCTTTCTTGGCCTTGTCAACTTTTTTTTAACAAGAGCAATAGTTTATTATTTTCCATGTGCCTGTCTCTGTGAATTGAAAAAAGCAGCCAAGGTTCACCTACACTTTTTTTAAAATAGACTTTATTTTTTAGAGCAGATGTAAGACTATTTTTTTTAGAACAGATATAAGTTCACAGCCAAATTGAATGGAAAGTACAGAGTTCCTAAATACCCCTAACGCCTACCCCAATACACACAGCACCTCCTCCACTATCAACATGCCCTACCAGAGGGGTTTGTTTGTTTCAATAGATGCACCTACATTAACATATCATCATCATGCACAGTCCATAGTAAACATTAAGATTTACTCTGGGTGTTATACATCAGGTATGTATCAGCCATTAATTAGAGTATCATACAGAGTAGTTTCACTGCCCTAAAAAATCCTCTGAGCTCCACCAGTTCATTCCAACCTGCCCCCCCCCAACCCCTGGAAGCCAGGAATATTTTTATTGTCTTTATTCTGCCTTTTCCAGAATGTCATATGGTTGATATCGTAAGTATGTAGCCTTTTCAGATTGGTTACTTTCATTTAGTAATATGCACCTAAGCTTCCTCCATGTCTTTTCATGGCTTAATAGCTCTTTTTTTTTTTTCAGAGCTGAACAATATTCCATTGTCCAGGTATACCAGTTTATTTATCCATACATCTACTGAAGAACATCTTGGTTGCTTCCAAGTTCCAGCAATTATGAATAAAGCAGGTATAAACATCAGTGTGCAGATTTCTGTGTGGACATTAAGTTTTCAGTTCTTTAGGTGAATACCAAAGAGGGAGACTGCTGGATCATTATGGTAAGTCTTGTGAGAAACTGCCCAACTGTCTTTTCTAATTCTTAACTGGCTTAATTCTTTCCTATTCTTGTTTGTCAATACCTTTATGTGGAATTCAAGCTGTTCCCTCTCATCCTACTTAAAGACTTTGAAACAACTGCTATTTCATTTGGCACTCAGTTTACATCTGTAAGGTATTATCAAATACCCAATAATCAGGAAAAGCCTGACAGATTAAAAAAAAAGTTAATAACCACAGAGGGGCTCTTCAAAGTATAAGGTAGGAGAATGGTATATGACATGTGACTAATTTTATTAAAAGTAGTAGAGTCACTGTTTTCATATTATGATGATTTTTGCTTGCCTAAGATGCCCTAGCTTTGGAAATTCAAATAATGAACACTCAAAATAAGTTCTTCATCATGCATTCTAAACCCATACTCAATAAAAATGAACATAAATGCAATGTATATGTGCAAATAAATTTCAGGTATGTACGTTCAGAAAAGCAAAATTTTAAATATGGAGACTCAGTCTCTAACTGAATTCTATTATAAAATTAGAGTTATTTTTCATGGTTTAGGAATTGGGTAAGAAAAAAGTCAAGGGTATTATGAATATGCCCAACAGGAAACTCTGATCTTGTTCTACTCTATCCTAACCAAGTACCAAAAATGTTTTTTTAAGAATGAGCCTCTGTTCCGTGTAGTTTAGCAATAAGCATGTGCAATTTCACAAATCTGCTACCCACTCTGATAAGATAAACTTACACACCTGATTGTTTACTTTTCAAAAAAAATTAATTTTACCAAAAAAAGAGCAAAATTCAAAAAATATGTATCCTACCACATTAAGAAGTACTTATATCTCCTGTTTTTATCTGCTGCTTAAATGTGATACACTGAAAGGGATCAGAACAAGAATACATATAATACACAATATACAGCCGAGGTTCTTTTATTGGATTACTAAATAGGTACAAAAAAACATATTTGACCATGCCAATGGGAATTTAGTAGCTGATAAAGTTCGTATTACAAAGCAAAAACCAGTTCCTAAAACCGTCAAACTTGAGGAAATGCAATACTGATTTGTACCACATCAGCATTGCATTTCCTCAAGTTTGACGGTTTTAGGAACTGGTTTTTGCTTTGAGATAAAGCAAATGTACAGTGATACTAATGACTAAATGTGTGTAGTACATGCTATGTGCAAGACACTGTTCTTATGTTACATTAGCTCCTTTGATCCTCACAACTCTAACATTAGGTACTACTGTCCTTATTTTAGAAATAAAATCACTAAGGCCCAGAGAGGTTAATTAAATTTATCAAGGTCACAAAACTGATAGCAGAATCAGGATCCAATCCCAGGCAAGCTGGGTCCAAATTCCAGTATCTTAAGATTATGCTATACTATCTCAATCTCATTTTTGGCTCACACATGTATTCATGTGTTCACAGGAATAAAATAAACACTATTCTCCACATATTGCTAATAAATCCTGATAGAAAATTTGGAAGCATTCACTATATCTTTACGTACTATCATTTTTTCTTCTAGAAAATAGGCATTTGCAACTTTCTAGTCAAATTACAAAAACCAACTGCAAAACCATGACTTTCTGGATTTACCCAAATTATTAAAGGACGGGAAAATTCTTGATAATAAATTTATTTTGCCTCTTCCAGAACACCTTGCAATATAATGCACCAGTTACTCAATACATACTTATTTGCTTAACTTTGGCTTTTTCTTCTAAGCCAGTAAGCAGTCACTAGTTTTGGATATAACCTGCTTCACCTAGAGTTCCCAGCATTATAAAAATGAAGAATAACTGCCAAGCAATTTTACATTGTTCTACTGGCATCTATCAAAAGGCATTAGTGACTTTCAGAGAGCACAGATGTTTATTGCTGCCCTCCCCAAATCCCACTGGATAGATAGATGGATATACAAAGGTTAACAACATCCACAGCAAGTGAGAGAATAAAACACCACCAGTGATTAAGAGACTTAAACCAACTTCAGAAAGGTAGAAAATAGGTGGAAACATACTGAACTACAAACCAAAGTAGAGTAAGTTATATTTGATAACGTGCATGAAAGGGTAAAGAAGAGATGCCATTCCTACAAGAAGACCCTGAGAGGTTTCAAGCTTGAAATAAGTGAGCTCAAATGTCCTAAGTGGACAGTAGGACAGTAACCATGGAAACTAGTCCTCCTCGCTCTCTACCCTTCAAACAAAAAGTTAGGAAGTTTTGTCTGCCCTCAGGATAAAGCCAAAAGTTAAAGAAAATCAAGAACTACATTTTCTATTGTGAATACTGCTGTTAGGGAACAGAGTAGAAACTTAGGCTTAATATCTCTACAATTCACACTGAGGAAATAAAATTAAGGCAGCTATGCTCAGCAAAGAAGTTGCTCCACTAGTGTAAAGTCTGGGCAAAAGGGGTCCCAGCCTGTCCACCTGTTCACACACACTCAACTGAAAACTTTCAGTCTAGGTGCTCTGGTATGTGGTATCAATATTCAATCAGTCCTCCCATTTAGAGAAAACAATGCTTATTATCTACAATAAAAATATACACGGATAATCGGTGTCCACCAGATGTTTGAGAAAAAAACTAAGGAAAAAGGCAAAAAAATAACAAAACCACTGACCCAAAAGAGACAGATAATTCGGGAAATAGAAGGTAATTTTTATTACATGATCATGTTTATAGATTCAAAAGACCTGCTATGACCATGAAATAAAGAAAGGCTGCTATTAAAGAGAGCAATTAGAGAAAGAAAAGGTTCTTGTCAAAATTTACAATTCCATAGAAAAGGTGACTAACAGAATGCACAGGCCTTAAGTTTGAATGAGTAATTCAGTCACCATCGTGTTTCCTGAACAGTGGACTCAGAGAATAAAAACCTGAAAAGAGGAAAATAAAAGTAGGAGGCGGTGTGAGATAAAATTACCGTAGTCCCTAAACGTATCCAGAATTGACAAATCAAGAAAAAGAGATTGATAACACGTACATTATCTACACTGAGGTTCAGAAGAAGAATGACAACTTAAACTTTTCATTTTTCACCATTTACACTGTACACATCTTAAGATTATGTACATGTATTAATTTTAACAATGCTTTAAGTATTTACCAGAAGAAATGGCATGGGACAACACCACACCCAATTAAGTGCTACTTAAACTCTCTGGAGACAATAATGTTGTGACTTATGGAGGATGGCAAATGTCAATATGAGAGATAAAAAAGGTCACTATCACTGGTTTTCTTCAAAGGGGAGATAAAAACATTCCGAGCCTTTTTAAAAGCGTGTACATTTATGGATATAAACATCCGCGACGCAAGCAAAGCCTCCAGAATCCGCCGGACCAGAAGCTGGTTCCCACCCACAACATAAGGAATAAGGAGCCAGCACTAGGAGGGGAAATACCTGCACTCCGGGATGCTGCGAAAGCCCGAGGACTTGACAGTCACATAGGCCAAGGCCACAGAGAGAGACACGGTGGCTAAAGTCTTTCCCAGGATGCGCCCGGCCATCAGCGCCCCGCGGACGGCTTCGCGCAGCGAAGTCGCTCTTAGCTTGAGCCGCCGCCTCCGCCCGCCCCTCAGCCCCTGGCCCCGGAGATCTAGCGAGCACTAGGACCCGGCCGCCCTCCCATTCCCAAGAGGGTGTAGCCAGGTCTAATTTCATAAACACACCGACCGGGACTGCTCCCAAAATAACACTCCAGAGCCTTCCCCAGTGCTGTGAATACTGCCGGATCAGCCACGGCCCTCGAAGTTCCCGGCCCCAGCTTCCGTGGGAACAGCGGCACGGGCCGAAGACATCCGAGGTAGCGACGGTGCTTTACGGCGTAGCCGCAAAGCAAAGGCCATGGCGCATGCGTTCTTCGACCTCCCAGTCTGCGCAGGCGTTTTGGGGGCGAATTGAAGGGCTATAGTGAGAGAGCAAATAGGCAAGGAACGGGAAGGAGGAAGGAAGAGAAAGGGAGGTGTGTAGGAGATTGTTACCCTGTTTTAGTAAAGGTTACAAACAGCTGATGTGCTCAACTCCGCGTGTCCTGGTCATATCTGAGTGAAAGGTTACAGAAAAAGGAGGTAGACAAGAGGCACAAACAATAAGCAGAGTTGAGGTTTTCTCTTCCTTTCGTTACCAACTTGTTTGCTGCAGCGGCAACAATTCGGGAGGCTTTGCCTGGTCTACCAGCTGTGAATTAGACACGCAACCTGGAGCAGGAACAAAGGGGAGACACCCAGAGAACTTAAGACAAAAATTTGCCGAACTGAATTTGGAAATCCAAACTGCCCAAAACATAATATTTATATTATTATCATGGCAAGTATTTAACTTTTAAGTACATAATGCGATGTAACGGTGGTGTGATATAGACACAGATGTGATGAAACTTTCAACATTTTAAAAGGTTAATCAAATGTTAAGGAGTATAGTTCTAAAGATTGCAGAACCGTGGTCATATAAAGACTCCATATGAACCGCTGCACCAGGAGACTTGACCAACTGCCAAGGCTTCTAGCTGCTGAAGATCTTGTCCCTAGGATGATCCCAAAGGCCCCACCTCTCCCACCCCAGCTTATAGTGCTAGCATGGAAAAGCTCAACACTGCCAGGAGAATTTATTGTCTATTGCAAGCAAAATCTGGTGATAGGCAGATAAGCCTTAGAATGCTTCCAATTACAAATCCTTTCTCTGCCCTTGGTGACATACATGTACCAACCAGAACTGTTTTCTCAAAGACTTTAGAGCCCTTTTCTTTGAAATACAGACATTCAGGTGTATATCCTGTGTGCTAGCTCCCAGTCCCTGTGGCAGCATAAGGGCGTAACTTCAGTGGGTTCCTTTCTTCAACTTGCACTACTGCCTCCTGCCATAAACATAGAAATTTGTTCCTTGGCCAGGTAGCTCAGTTGGTTAGAGCCTTGTCGAGATACTCCAAGGTTGCAGGTCCTGTCCCCATTGGGGCATATACAAGGATTGGTGTCTTTGTTTCTCCCTCTCAAGACTGATTTTTTAAAAAGATAGAAATTTCTTTCTCCTCCATGTAAATGAAAAGGGGCCATGTACTAAACCTGACAAGCTCAAGGGGAGGCCTGCCTGGCAGCCTGATAAACTCACAGACCAAAGTAAACACATAGGATGGTCTAAAATTAAAACTTTCTAACTAAACTTTTGTGGCAGGTAGTCATGTCCTAGGCTAGAATCTTCTCTGACAAAGGTCTGTCTTCACCATAATTGAGCCTGATAACATACCTTTGGAATATCAGAGTAACTGCCTTTATTCTGACCCCTCAAAACATAACCACCACACCAAAGGCTGCAAATTTCCTCATTGTTATTGTTATCATGCTAATTGTTGGCTGTTAACTATCTTATGCCCGTAACTGTGAAAGAAGTATGTGTCTATCATTTTACTTTTTATCCAATCCCAGAGATTTCCCTACTTTGCTTTCTCCAGACTCCCTACTCTATCACCAATGGATTTCATGTAACTCACACCTCCTTCTTTGATGCTAATTAATAAAATAAATGATAAAACCGCCATTTTCCGGAGCATTTTCTCAATCTGTTGAGATTTTGTTTCCTGGCAATTATCATCAGTTTGACTCAAACAAACTCATAAAAATTCTTACAGGTTTGGACTTTTCTTACATTGACATCTAATGAGCTCTGATTAAAAACCCATATGGCCTAGTCACATGGATCACCCACTCACCCTCTTAACGCCCCTCCGTGCCTTTTCTTTAGCACAGTCCTCTCTTTTAAAAAAGTCTCCAGCCTTCTGCTTCAGTTCATGCAGTAGTGTTACTGAATAAAATGTGTCTACAGCTTTACCGAACATCCAGCTTTAACGATTCTTTTGGATGGTGAGGTGCCATTATTAAAATGTGCTTGCTTTTAAAAAAAAATCTGGATTTGGCTTCCCCTGGTCAGATAAATTTTGTTCTCAAAAGCAGGTTCTGTTTAAAAAAATTGGCTTTTTCTAAAGTCTGCTCATAAATTAGTCATTAGGAGAGGAATAAGGCAGTGAGTCACAAAACTTCTGATCAAAGAATGGGAGAAACAGGAAGTTTTCATGGGAAGTTCTTCAAGCCCACGCGTTCTAATTCTGCATTCTTTAAGGCAGCCCTGTTGGAGTGCACTTAATTTAAGGACCCACAACTATGCAAAGAAAACCAGTTCCATGGCTTTGGGATTGCACCAGTGCAGACAATTGGGTCTCCCAGATTCCTCCCCTGAGGAACTGTACTCCCAGGTCAGCTAGAATTGAAGAGCGTGTGCTGCAGCCCACTTGTGGGCAGAACCAAAATGCCATCTCGGATATTTACTGTTTCCTATAGCTGTCCATTTACATCCCGAATTAAGTGGGTGTCATCAGAACTTCAGTGAAAGCTGTCATTTTTTATGTAGAAGCCACATGTAATTTTAAGGGCATCTTAAAATAGTTGGTGAGATGAGCAAAAGATGCTGAGAAATATTTTTAAGTAAAAACCAGCGTATGGGATTACTGGAATTAATAGCTTTGGTAAAAATAATCGTATCTAAGAATTCCAACCATTTCCCCCTCTTCTCACTTATTTCCTTATACAACAAATATTCACTGATTACTTACTATTTACCAAGTACCACCCTAAGTGTCAGGAACAGAGTTGTGAACAAAATGGGCAAGGTCCTGCTCTCACGAAGCTTACTTTCTAAGGGAGGGACATCAACTATAAATAAGTATACTTGGAACTGCAGATTAGGAGAAGTGCTATGAAGGAAATAGACAACTTTTGGTGGAAAAGAATAACTGAAGGAGGAGTGACTACTTTGGATTATAGGGGAAGAGTGTCAGAGAAGGCTTTTCTGGGGAGGTCACATTTGAGAGATACCTAAAGACATGAAGCTGCCAGCCATCGGAAAGCTGGGGGAAGAGCTGAGAGGACTATACGTGCAAAATCTCTGAGGCAGGAAAGAGCTTGGCCACAGTCCAGGAAGAGAAAGCTCAATGTGCTTAAAGTACAGTATTGTAGAAAACTGGGGGAACCCTGATCTGCGATGAAGCACAATGGACACAACTCACTGATTCCCAATACCAATTTACCCATGTCATATGTAGAAATGTGTCCAGTTAAAAATTTATCTCCCTGTGCTCCCTAAAGCTAAAGGGGCCATTTGACCCTCCCTGGTCATCTTAAGATGAAAGTAAAAGCATACTTGTGTGGGTCTCTAGGAAGGCTATTATTTTTCTGGTGATAAGAGACTGGCTTATTTGGAAGGAACTATTAATCCTTTGCCATTTCCCTTCCCTCCTTTATTTCTGCTTGAAATGAGGGCACAATTTCTAGAGAAGGACCAGCCATACTGAGACCACAAAGACAAAAGCCACACTTTTGGATGGCAGAAGAGAGTGCATAAAAGCCTGGGTCTTTTATGAAGTGCTCAAGTACTGGTACTGTTACAGGGTGCAGCCAAGAGGGGGGACCCCAAATAGACATTTGAAATGGGGTCCAGAACTTAAAGTGTCCAGGAGATTTTAAGATGTCTCCACCCCCACCCCCCCACCCCCGCCCCCACCCCCGCCACGGTGTGGGTTGGGGGAAGGGACAAATGGAGCAGGGCCATTGAGAGCTGTTTTGCATAGCAACAGCCTTGCAGCTACCCTCTGGTGTGGTCATTTAACATATCTATAGCCTTTGGCTGGTCGCTTAGACCTGTTAAATAGCTGTGGCCATGCCCTGAGCCAGGGGAATGGAAGTAACTTCCCCACCAAGACTTAACTTGGGGGGGGGGCAGGTCCCCCGAGGAACAGCGCCTGCGTGGGAACTTGGAGATGATTGGCTCCATGACATGGGGCCACGCCTGCCCAGACTCATGATGGCAGCCCAGTAAAGCTGGAAGGATACGAGTTTTGGCATGTGAAGCCGAGTGTGGGAGGAGTCGGAAATGAGGCTGCAGAGGAAGATTGGCCGCGGGGATTTAAAACCCAGACTTGGTGGCCATTAGGAGAGAGAACCATGTGGCTTTAGCAGAATGGGTAGGACCTCAGCCATTGGGGGAGAACCGTGCTGCTTTAGGAAGGAGAGCCATGCTGCTTTAGGAGAGAGAACCACGTGGCCTTGACAGAGTGGAGACTCCCGCAGCCCTGAGAGGGAGAACCACGCGGCCTAGACAGAGTGGGGACCCCCACAGCTTTAGAAGGGGAACCACCACCTGGTTTTAGCAGAGATCCTGGCGACTCAGCTGAGGGTGCCAGGAACCCAGGGAGGTCTCCCAGTTGAGATGGAGTATTAACTGGGAAGAACCAGAGGACTGCCTGAGCCATGGACTTCTATTTCCTGTCCTGAGATCCGGTACTCTGGACTGGGCAAAGGGGGAAGGAAGGAAGGACTGTGTCTGTTTGTGGGTGTTTTAAGGGACCCTAGGATTTTTGATGAAGACATTAGGTCACTACCTGAAGTCTGTATAGCATTAAATAAACATTTCCTTTCCTTTTTACGAATCTCTGGCATTGAGAGACGTCTTTCCTAGGGCGGAGGACATAACAGACCCGGGGCCTTCTTTCAATAATTGTATACCGCCCCAGGCCCCCCTTGTTTGTTCTGTAACAGTACCAGTCCTGATAGCCTGCTTCTGGACTGAGAAAATAAGCCCCTGTCTGGCTAAGAGACTGGTTGGGTTTATTTTACACAAAAATCTCTGCACAAGAGCCAAATCATTGAAGGTTTTCTAGGCCATGGTAAGGAATTAGGAGTTTATCACAAGTGCAAAGAAAAGCCATTAATAGCCCACAATACTTCATTCCTCACAATGTAGAGAGGTAGATAATCTAAAAGTTAGA